TGTTGTATGTTTTCCTCTCCTCCCCTCTCTCTCTTTCTCTGTCCATTCTCTGACAGGTCTTTACTCTTCAGAATGTCTTTCTCTCTCTCTCTCTCTCTCTCTCTCTCTCTCTCTCTCTCTCTCTCTCTCTCAGTGGGCTAGCACTAAGTCTGGGCTAGTACAAGCAGCCACACATACACACGCATGCACATCGTTAAACCCAATATCGTCATATGGAATTTGAAATTTGTTCTAAGATAAGTAGAGAACTGTTTATACACGTTAAACCCAATATCCTCACCTGTTAAAGATGAATTTCATTCCCTTTTGTTATCTTCATTATAAGATAAGTAGAGAACTGTTTATACCGCCATATTCTGTGATACTGTTGTATGTTTACTGTCCGTTGTTGACAGGTTTTACTCTTCAGAATGTTTTCCTCCCCCCTCTCTCTCTCTCTCTCTCTCTCTCTCTCTCTCTCTCTCTCTCTCTCTCTCTCTCTCTCTCTCTCTCTCTCTCTCTCTCTCTCTCTCTCTCTCTCTCTCTCTCTCTCTCTCTCTCTCTCTCTCTCTCTCTCTCAGTGGGCTAGCACTAAGTCTGGGCTAGTACAAGCAGCCACACATACACACGCATGCACATCGTCATATGAGCGAATTTTTTTCTCAAGCACGACGTTAAACCCAATATCACCTCACCTCTCCCTCTCTATATATAACATGATACGGTGAGGCCACATCGGTATCCTGGTAATGTCCATGCACCAGTGATGCAAGTATCAGGTCTGTATTTACACATTAGGTGAAAGTGCTGTGAGCATTAAGATTGTATGATGGCAGTATATCTCAGTGCCTTGTGTATTAATACTTTATTGGTGTCACTGTCAGTGCTGTTCATATTAAAGCTATGTTAAGTTTTACATAAAGCAAGGGTAGAGACAATGCAATATGATCTAGTACTACCATGTCATTAGTTCATATTTTCTCCCTTTTAGTGGGTGAAACTTGGCCTTGAAATATTTGTTCAAATTTCAGACAGCAAAAGATGACATATTAACATATTGTAAGGACACTGTAGATTCTTGTATTCATAGACCCGTGAAGATCCGGGTTAGATTGATCTTCAGTATCCCATGCTTATCGTAAAAGGCGACTAACGGGTCAGGCTTGCCGACTTCGTTGACACATCATCGTATCCCAGTTGCGTAAATTGATGTTCATGCTGTTGATCACTGGATTGTCTGGTCCAGACTCGATTATTTACAGACCGCCGCCATATAGCTAGAATATTGCTGAGTGCGGTGTAAAACTAAACTCACCCACTTGTATTCATAACCAACCAATAAACACGATAGAATCTGCATAAACTAGTTCTTGAACAATTTCTGTCATTATTCATGTTTTGCATCTTCTTACTTGTAATGTAATGAATGGTGTTGCAATACAGGAGTTGTAGAACGATGTGTTATATGGTAAGCCTTGTCTCTCTATGAAATACTGCATCGTCATATCATTACACCACTAATTTGTTTAAATTTTTGTATTTCCGTCTTTTGAAGTTACATTTTTCCATCCACTCTCTAAACATTCATAAGTTAAGTGTGCATTACACCACTAATGTTATCACAGACAACTATTTCATGAAAATGCATGATCAATTGAAACTGCAACTGCTATTGCAAGCTATCAGACAATTTATGCTAGTTTTGAAAAACAACATACCGTCATCCTAGATACGAAATGATATTCTGATATGTTTTGAATGTTTGCTGTGACACTTTCCCTCTGTTATTTATATTAATAACAGTGTATGAAATAAGGCCCGTCCGACCGCCTGAGACGGTCTAGATTTCTGACGGACGGTCTAAATTTACAGCTAGCCAGCCCGATGGTCAGGTAATTTTTTTTAGATGTTCCATACATCTGAGTAAATTCACCATATTTGGTCTGGTTAAATCCAATTTGGGCTGGTAACATTTTGAAGTTACCGGCCCTGATGTCTGCCTGGACTTTTGGCTTATTTCATGCACTGTTAATAACAATAAAATTGTTATGTTATTCATAACTTGTTATTCAGGTTATGTTCAAGAACAAGCTATTTGGACATGCTCTCATAGCAATGCTGCAATATAATATGTACATATAAAATATATGATGTTCCCTCAAGCAAATTGAGCGTTTCCTACTTTGAGTGCAGTGTTCACACATATGAAACAAATTGCTAGATTGAAAATCCGTCGATGTATGGATTTTACATTGTGAAGCTATCAATTGGCTTCTAAGAATTCTCCTCAAAGACTAAGTATTTGTTGTGCTGGGGTAATTCGCCAAGACTACACTGTAATCATACACTGCGTCACAATGCCATGTCTATCCAGACATTAGAACAAACGATGTCTTGTGACAGGGGCAAACAACTTGTGACAGTAATGTGCAGCACTTTGTGTCGAATATGATAGATCTACACATTATTGGTGTAGTTTTAAAACATAGATTTTTAACTAATCCCGCACAACTTACATCCGATGTAGTGCAGGATGAGTATACAAATATACAAAATATTTAGATTTTACTAAATGTTTAACTAATCCTGCACTACTTATATTCGAAGTAGAATAGGATGAGTATACAAATATACAAAATATTTAGATTTTACTAAATGTTTAACTAATCCTGCACTACTTCGGATATACAAAGCCAGAATAAGTATACAGATATAACAAATATTTAGATTTTACTAAATGTTTAACTAATCCTGCACTTCTTTAGATGTTAGTAGGATAAATATACAGATATAACAAATATTTAGATTTTACTAAATGTTTAACTAATCCTGCACTATTTCGGATGTAAGAAGCCAGGATAAGTATACAGATATAACAAATATTTAGATTTTACTAAATTTTAGCTAATCCTGCACTTCTTTAGATGTAAGTAGTGCAGGATAAATATACAGATATAACAAATATTTAGATTTTACTAAATGTTTAACTAATCCTGCACTATTTCGGATGTAAGAAGCCAGGATAAGTATACAGATATAACAAATATTTAGATTTTACTAAATTTTAGCTAATCCTGCACTACTTCAGATGTAAGTGGTGCAGGATAAGTGTACAGATATAACAAATATTTAGATTTTACTAAAGTTTTAACAAAATGAACAATGTATTGTAATGGTGTGTTACTGATTTTAGGTTAAAATGATCAAAGCACAAGAAAACACACACACTCAGAGAGAGAGAGGGAGGGAGGGAGGGATAGACTGACAGTATGTTTATCTGTCAATCCTGATTACAGATTACTCATCCCTGTACAGTGCACACACCATAACAAATTCTTTTCCCACAAGCCTGGCATCTTGCAGCTGAAGTCAACACAGAAGGAAACCTATATTTGTTTGAATTAAGTACTGCAGCACACAGTCCCCTCTGTCTATAATAGTGGGGTTAAAGTACATGTATCAGAATGCACCGGCATTGATTTCCAATCCTAGCTCGTGACTTGAACATGTGAGATAAATTGCTGGATTGACGATACGTCAATTTATGGATTTCAGATTATGAAGCTGTCACTTGCCGTGCATCTTTTCCGTAAATTTTTATTGTTGGATGAATCTAAGCAATGGTACCATGTTGTACCTACATAATTTATAAAATTTGTGGTGTCAAAATTCCATCTGAAATTTTATGTCAACCTAGATTTAACAAGTCTTTTGTAAGTGTTCATGGAGAGTCAAGTGACCTGACTTAGAATTAGCTGTTCCTCTTCTGCACTTACAAGTATTTCTATGATTTTCACAATATCCTTTCTCAGTGCTTTTGTGCCATATTATCTATAGCATTTATTGAAATTAATGGGAACAAAGTGCCACCTGAAAATCTGATCTGATACATAGAACTGGATATGCTGTCTGGATAGTAGTACAGGGTTGAAAATAGGACTGCATGGTACTACCGGTATATCGCAATACGCCTTTCAAACGATACGTATTGCAATGTTTTTTTCTCCGAACCAGTATTTTGGATAATAATGTATGAAGTTTTGTGATTATCTCTATGGTTTAAGTTAAAATCCATACAGGCTTTCATTCACACTGAAGTTTACAATTGTAAATAATTTGACAAAACAGCATACTTTACATAGTTAATTTTCTAAAAAAAGAAACAACAATCCCTCAAAATGAAATCTAAATTTGATGTTTCTGTTATCTAATCGCTATTTATTCTTAGGGCTTTATGTAGAAAATAGGCTCTGCATGTCTCTGTGTCACTGTCAAACACTGAAATACCCAGTATATCACAATACGTATCGGAATACAGCTACCAGAATTGCAATATATTGCAAATACTAGGGAACCCTAGTCTCAAATTCATCTATTTTCACTAGTCCTCAGAAAGTGATGTAAAAGTTGAGTCCACAATTAACTTTCACTATTCCTCCCTGCATTTACTTGTCTTAATCGAGCAAGTTTTGAAAGTTTAGTGCGAAAATCACTCTGGTCCTGTGGTCCCTGGCCAGTACAAATTCATCAGGATGATAAGTTTGCAGTGGTCCTGGTGGCCAGTGAATTTTGTATTGATAGTTTAGTAAATCTGAGAATGATTTTTGGACCAGTGAAGTACAGACAGGACCACTAATTATTGTCCACTTACTGGTCCTGTGGTCTAGTGGGAAGTTTTGAAAGGTTTCTTGCCCTGTGTCGGTAAACCATTAATCCTATGCCATATATGAAAACACTACTACTTATCATTTATTTTGGTAATGTTTGATTTGGTTTCAATATCCTGGTATAAATGAAAACTTTTTCACATATATGTAGTTTGGTTACAAAAATATATATCTTGTATTCTATTTTCTAGCTTGATATCTTATTTCGTTCAGTGTTATAATTATATATATCTTCATTAATTTCAATGAGCCCCATGTTGTCAGGAAAGATTTGTTGATAATGAAGCAGACCGTTCTATGGCACTCACAAACACACCTGTCAGGTATTAAAATTCAAATGATTTTCTGTTGTAGCCAATATTCCTGCATCGGTCCCTCTGGTACATGAAGCAACGCCGATCTGTGAACAATGCCAACAGGTAGGTTGAAAAAAACATTGTGTACAGTGTTGGTGTTGGGGGACTAACTGAAGTCCCAGCAGAACATCATGATGTCATAACTATAGCTTTAACAGATACACAAGTGGTTCAAGCATTTGTTTGTCAAGGCGAAGACCCAGGATCGATGTGCCGTTTGAAGAAACGTGTGAAGAAAATTTACGGTGTCCTCTGCTGTCATATGGCAGGAATATTGCTAAAAACAGCATTAAAACATACTCTAAATCAATCAATCACAGAATAATAACTAGGTATGAAATCGTCTTATTTCTTTGCCTTGATAATTGTACCTCATTGTTGACGATATCAATCACGGGTTTGTTAAGCCCATACTCGACTATTCACCAGCCTTTCAAACAGTAGAATATATTGCAGCTTTAAACAGCAAACAATCAATTAACAAACATACAAATATCTTCTTTTAATCAAAAAATGTCTCATTCTTTTTACCAGAAAACTCAGCCTAGGTAATTGACCTTAGACACATTCTATTGATTATCACATTTTTATTTTTAGAATTGAATCTATATCTCATAAGAGTCTATTTTATTAACATTTAAGAGACCTCATCGTTTTGCTATAAACATTGAATACCGCAGGAAAATAAAAAAGGTTTGTCACCTGAAATAGTAGGACTGCACCCTATTACCTGTGTACCAGAATACAGCAATATGCATTTCAAATAATACATATTGGAATATATTTTATGGGAACTGGTACATTGGGTAAAAGAATGTATGGATTTTTGTAATTATTAAGGCTGTAACGATTCACTCGCATATTCGGTGAATCGAACCGTAGCCCTTCATGAATTCAATTCGTTATTTGTGATCACCAGAACCGAATTTTAAAGAATATTACGATTTTTTTAAGGAAGCATGTTTTACTTGAACCCTTGTGTACTTTTGGAAAGTGAGATATGCAAGGATTGAATATGTACTAGCCTTGCAGTAGCGCAAGTCATGTTAGTTTGCCAAGGCCGCACATGGTACTGTCGACTATAACTATTACATACCAAATTTGAGTGTCATGAGATCACTGGTTATTGCTGTGACAAATCAAAAATGTCAAAATGGGCGTTCCATATTCTACATCAATCACTTAACTACAATACAGTATTCGTGAATAATTATTCGTATTCGTTACCCAACATTCATGATACGTATCATATTCTCCACATAGTGTATTCGTTGCAGCCCTAGTAATTATCTCTTTGGTTAGAAGTAAGATCTACACAGACAGACTGTCACTCGCAACTGATGTTTTCTTTCCTTACTCACAAAGTTGCATACTTTACATACTTGTATTGTATGATAAAGAAAACAGATTCCTTAACCATCCTTATGTTGCTGTTATCAGAACAATGATATATATATTTAGGGCCTTAATGTGTAGAAAATAGGATCTTCAAGGAGAAACATATCACATACCCTTGCTCAGAGTTAAAGGTGAATCACTTACGACGTATATGCAGGGGTTTACATAGCTCTTCAAAACTGAGTGTACTGGGGCATATGTTTTTGTGAGTCCATTTCCAAAATTGGGGGTCCATCAATTTGCATTAAATAGATGATAATGAATGCTTCCCATTTGATAATGATTATGTTAAGATATGTGTTACTTTCAATGTCATTAGAATAATGATTGTAAATAGTATGTTTATATTTTAATATGGGATATCATTACAAACTCAGAAAGTTCTTTCCCAGAAAAAATTATATTGAGTCCACAAGGACGCCCAGGATTTTAGTTTGGGGGAACTTCACCAAATTTCTGCGTCCAATGCGCAGGAATTTTCATCCCTAAAACCTGATATGGTGTTCAGAATTGAGCATGAAAGTCATGGGGTCATATCCTTAATTTGAGATTTGAGGGCTTTTTGAGATTCTTCTACAGCAAACTATGTTTGTAACAAACATGCTCATACCAATAGAGATATTTTGGTCCATGCTTCTTCCTGAATATTTTAGTCAAAATGCATATAAACAACTGTAGTCTGTTTGCAGTGAAAATGTACGAAGAATTTCACTTTTAACACACAAAAAAGTAAATCGTTTAAAATCGCTATTATTTGTTTGTATTACAAGGGGATTTACACATTAAATGAAACATCGAGAAAAAGCAGGGTTGGTCTAAGTTAACGCTCATCATGTACTGCACAGGCATTTGTTTCACTGTTCAAACTACTGGGCTTACGCCCTTGTAATACAAACCAATAATAGCGATTCGAAACTATGATCGTTTGTTGAACAACTTTTATCCTATGTTGAAAAAAATTCTGAGATTTACATGTTCATTTGGCAAGGTAAATTATGACATTTCGCAATCTTAATTTCACTTTATTTGATTTACGTTTTTGCTTAAAGGGAAATTCGTCGGAACGTTTTCACTGCAAACGGACTATACAGATTTTAAAAATTTAAATTAGTAGTTCCTTTGAGTCTGTTATAATCCCAGTTTACTGAACCACTGCATCAAACCTCTAGTACACCAGATTTCAAGCACTGTATTCATACTTGCAAGTGGAGCCACATGCCCTCATGTTTGGAGCATGTGGATGATACCCAAGACTTTTAAAAGCCCCATAACTGGATGATAACACCATTTGATTTTACATTTAGGCCTTTTTCCCATGATGCTAGTAAAACTTTAGATGGACAAATATTTTCTCTGAAAATGTAGTTACTAGACACTGTTTTGGCTGGCTGAGAATGGAATCATGTCATTTCCATGACTTTATCAAAATGTGAGAGGACATATCTCTATATCAGTACCAAATTTGAAAAGAAAATTTGGTTAACAGTCCATATGTTTCCTAGAAAATTAACGATTTCAAATCCTTTTTTTACCCTGCACTGAAGTGAGCTGTGGACTGAATGTGTACTCCAGTAGCATGGCTCTTCATTTAACAGTTTAGTTTTAACATAACCTTGGAAACTGAATTTTCATCTTGTTTGAGAAAGTCTTGACACAATGATCACATGAGTAAATAAAAAGTAGGCTCATTCAGAAAGTCATCCAGTCCTTGGCTCGTACTCTTCACTTAGTGTGTCCTTCAGGTGACAATTTATTGTCTATATGTCGACATTATTCCATCCAGTTGAGGGGAAAGCAGCTGTTTTTTCTTGACAGATGTTCTTTTAATAAATGTTTACCTCCAAGATAAACCATGGCAGAAACAGTTCCTTTGAGGAATGCCAAGTGTGAGAGCTGTGAGGAACATGAAGAAATCATCCAAAGAAAATTATCACTAAAGTCTTTGAATGGCATTTAGTCTCTGAATTATCAAAGGTACATGAGGGAATTGCCTTTTAATATTCTAGGCATGCTTGGGATTTTTGCTGGTGACGGATATGTTTTCGGCCTTCTGCTCCCTAACAGGCAATTTGTTAATGTTAAAGGGAAGCCCAATGGTTTGCTTTCTTTTGTCAGAACAAATTTTGTCAGACATTCAAAATTGGATTCAGTGAAGGAAAATTGAAAATATATGTGAATTCCCTTCTAAATACAGAGATGCCAACATCTTTGTAGCCGCTACGAATTTTAGCCCAAACTACGCCAATACGATTGCACTAGAAATTCGTATATATAGACAAAACGTATATTTTCGTCGATTAAATACATTTTCGCCAAAAAAGAGACCAGAAGAAATGTTATGCTGATAATTTGGAAATCTGCTGTTGGATGTGTGGGAAATTAAAGCTTCACTCTTGATTAGTGTCATATCTTTCTCAGAATCCATCATGATTTTAAATATTTAGTTGACTACTAATTTTATGGTCAAACTAATAAATTTGATCCTCGAAACTAGCATTTGCAACACTTTGGGGTTGGCATCTCTGTAAATAATCCCCTCTGTTCTCCGCATGGACTCTAACTGCCAGGCTTTTGGGGTAGTGGGTCAAGTGTTCATTTGTCACACCAAAGACGAATGTTTTATTCCACATATGTGTACAATGGTGAAGTCATGATATTGTTGAAATAGGGAGTCATAAAACCAAATTCACACACAAACTCCCTAGCTATTAGACACCCTGCAAGTATCATGACAAACCTGTTCACTGGCGTTACTTCCGTTACTTCGGGAATTTTGTTGCCGATTTGGAAGGGGTGAGTGAATGAATGAAGCACCCAGGTATATGCCGACTTTCTCATGGTTGAGTATAAAGAATCTGGAGAAAGAAAACAAGTGGTTGACCACTTCACCAACAACCAGGGTCCCGATCCACAGTGCAATCGTAACATTAAGACCAGCCGTAACGTTATAGGTTATCGCAAGCTTACAAATGTCATAGCGCGCTACCTCGTCACAAATAGTAGACAGGTTATATAACAAGCATCTTTAGGGAGGCCTACTGTCCTGAAGTCCCTCTATTGAAAGCTAAAGTAACTTTGTGTTCCACCGTACTGACTGTCGGACACTGACTGCTATCGTGATGCCAGTTTGTCATGCTGATGTTACGGGGCGGTGGGTAGCCTAGTGGTTAAAGCGTTGGCTCGTCACGCCGAAGACCCGGGTTCGAATCCCCACATGGGTACAATGTGTGAAGCCCATTTATGGTGTCCCCCACCGTGATGTTGCTGGAATATTGCTAAAAGCGGCGTAAAACTATACTCAGTCAGTCAGTCAGTCATGCTGATGTTACGGAACAAAGCACCAAGAAGTTGGACTATCACAGTGTGTATATGCTATAGCTAAAAAATGGAATGCAAATAGTGTCAACATGAGATCAACGGTAAATAACTGGCATAATCACACGTCACATCAACAGTATTTGGTTGTTTCACATCAACAACGTCACTGCTCTCAATGACTATCAACAATAAAACGAATGTACACATCACATCAACAATAAAACGAATGTACACATCACATCAACAATAAAACGAATTCACACAGCACATCAACAATAAAACGAATGTACACATCACATCAACAATAAAACGAATTCACACAGCACATCAACAATAAAACGAATTCA